CGCAGCAAATTCCTGATCCCTTGGTCTGTCATAAATAAGATGAGTCTCCAGATGTGCCCAGCTGCTCCTGAGGCTGGGCTCAGGTAGGGAACACCACGCGGCGCCTCTCAAACAAAGCGGTGCTAGGGACCAAACTGTACAAGAGTTACGGTTGCCTGTGAAGATAACACCGCTACATCAAGCTCATATCGTCCTTAAATTTCAAGCCCTGCACTGTCTGGAGCAGACATTGGTTTCAGAAGACTGAAATAACATGAGCCAGCTTTCATCACACCAAGCAAATGAGGGAATATTTATCCCACCAAACTGAGAAGGCCGGCATGGAAATACATTCTCTGCTATAGAACCAACAGCCTCACTTCTAGCATCTACCAGAGGAGTGGAGGTTGGCTCACTGTCTCTGGTTGTTAGAAGTACTAAACCCAGATTCCTGCCCTTTCACCCCCAGCACCCATGTTGAAGTTGAATCGTCGCTGAAGAAAAGCAGGCACCACTGTGGCATGAGCCAACTTCTTCCATTCAGTGCACAGGGCTCTCCTCAATCAGGCATGTGCAGGTAGGTGGCATAAATCAGGGCGTCACCTTTAGATCACAACAGGTGAGGAACAGACTTGCACAGCATCAGGTAACTGATGTTCTGAAATGCCCGGCACAGCTGAAACTATGAGGGCCAAGTGATCTGCCACAGATCACAGACCAACTCCGAGCAAGTTCCTGGTCCTTTGGCATGAGTCTGCCTGTCCACTGCATCTATCTAGCCAGCCTGCCACTGAACTCCCCTCTTTTGCTGTCCTTACATTTAATCTGTTCCTGCCTTTAACTTTTTGCCATCGTTTGTACAGAATCCAGTTAGACTCAGAGCTGTGGGGAATGGCAAAGGTAAAAGGCCCCACATACTGACCAAGATCTTACACTGCAAACAAGAAAAAATCTCCGTCTGTCTTGAGAGATGTCAAGTATATCTTCTTGTGCCAGTTATGTAGAATATATTATTATATGTGTAACTAACTGGCGTAGGTCATGTTCAATGATCTACAGCAATAAAACTCTCATCTCTTACATTTATACCTCTCTTATTCGCTAATTCTTCCTGCTTTGCTTCATACTCTATGTCCCCTCTAGGTGGAGGAAGAAATCATAGAATCATAGAATGCTTAGGGTTGGAAGGGACCTCTAGAGATCATCCAGTCCAACCCCCCTGCACACGCGGGGTCACCTAGAGCACATGGCACAGGACTGCATCCAAGCGGGTTTTGAAGATCTCCAGAGAAGGAGACTCCACAACCTCTCTGGGCAGCCTGTTCCAGTGCTCTGTCACCCTCACTGGTAAGAAATTTTTCCTTAAGTTCGTGTGGAACTTTTGGTGCTTCAGTTTCCGGTCATTTCTTCTAGTCTGGAAACTGAATTATTAAGGAAACTGTATTATTTTTTCCCTCTAGGACATACAGATTTCCACCTGCATAATATCACCTGCCATGTTCTGACAGATACTTGAGTGAGTCGAAATTACCTCAGTCAAAGCTACATTGTAACCATATCTACTGAAACCTAACACAGCAGCCTTTGGAGCACTATGATTCTCACATTTTAAGTGCTAAATATTTTCTGAAGGAGAAAAAGCTCTCCTTTTCACCAGGAGAACGCAACAGTAATTGCTGAAGCTCCCCCAGTGAAGCACAGAGCCACTGAAACACTTAATTATGCCTTCTGAGCACTGCTCAAATACCACTGTTTACCTCTGAGACTACAACTAAATTGCATGTTTCTTGTCTGGTGGAAAGAGCTTTCCAGAGTCAATATTCACACCGCTGTGTGGAAATGCATCTAATCTCTCCATAATCTCTATATAATTTATTATTAATATTTATAAGACAATATAGTGGGTAAGCTGTATCTGAAATAACAGCAGTTTCATCAACATGCAGTGCTAATGAGAAGCTGATTTCAGAGAGCAGAGAGTCACAAATCAGCTCCCTTAATAGGAAAGGATGAACACAGTCGCTTCCCACCATTTTAAACAGACCTGAAACTGAAGAGTCTGTGGAAAGTAATTTATTACAATCCTCCCTAGCTTAAAAACATGCCCATCACTACAAGCCTATTTTTAATATATAGTAATGTGTTATATATACAATGCATACACGATTAGTATTTCAGAGTCTTTGGTTTCATATTGATTACAGGTATGAAATTCATGACCTTACGATCTATTTTATGAATGGAGTGTTTTGTTCTTGATGTTTGAAATGTTATATGCTGCACAAATAAATGTCTGTGATTCCAAATAGGATAGAATCCAACATTAAAAAAAGATTAAAAAGAAAGCCAGGGAATTCATGTCACTCGTCTTACAGAAAGATATCCAATAACTGTGGCCAGTTCAGAATTAAATTCTTCCCTTGCAGCAGGCCCATGCACTTGTTTAGCCCCACTTCATGACTGTGTAGGGGATTAAGCAGGCTAAGAAGGTACATAGATGCAGGGATGGCTTTCTGACCACAGGGTATTTTACTCTCAGGAACTTCTTATCCTTGGAACAGAAAATCTATATAGTTCCAATGGCTAAAAACTCAAGCAATCATACCTAAAACAGAAGTCAAAGGAGAAGCTACTGCACCACACCAGCAGGCTAATCAAAATTTTTAACACACATGGAAGTCAAGAGGGAGCTTCCATGATGAACTAAAGAAGCCTTTCCTGTCCCTCATGTTAAAAGCTAGACACCAAAGCCCTTCGCTGACACATTTTTCTCCAGGAAAAGTTGTGCAACCATATCCTTCATTTTCCATTTCAGGAACAAGTTTCTCCCCAAGTCATAAGTTAAAAAAGCCTCTTGCAAACCTATCGCACACAATCAGAGTACTTGCCTCTGCAAAGTCACAGACTAGATTCACAGAAACCATACTTGAAATGCATGTTCCTAAAAGGGAGTTTTCTCCTCAGCATAGGAGACTGCTCCATACAAACTACCTCCAAACTAGCACAGTTCTTGTCTCCAGGAACAACCCCCATCGCAATAACCACAAAACTTGACCTAATATCTGTAGAGATCAGCCACTTTCATATCTGTAATTTGCCAATCTGGCCAAACACACACTAAATACCTGATCCTTTTTTCCGCCTCTCAGTTCTTCTGTGCTGTTCTGCTGCTTAGATGCTAACCTGTTGTGGAGATGGCCTCCTAGACCTGACAGGAGAGACTAACCTACAGCTTCAATACATGTCCCAGATATAGCAGATGGTATAACAAAATATGCTACCTATCCTTCCAGTTGTCTCTTTTATTACATCTTAATATAACAGCTACAACCGAACTATACTCTCAGGTCACATATTCTACACTTTTCTACAAAAGTAGAAATGCTGAAGTGACAGGAAATACATTTTTAATCCCCACAGTTTACCCACCAAGCACAGTGAATTTCTGGGATGACTGTTTACAATGCAATAAGACACACATTAAAGTTGAAAACAAAGAAAACTAAAACCAGTGGGATGTGTTTGACACAGGCAAAGGATTTAGAAAAAAAGCAAGAACCAAGAAGCCAAAAAAGCCAGGACACTGATAAGGAAAGGCAGTGACTGGGTGGGTAGGAGCCACAGCAGTAGGCGCCCTGGCTTGCCAGACATGGGTATTCTAGTTCAATGCTTCTCTCCTTATCACTTCATACACATAAAAACCTTATGGGGAGCACAAGCACTTATCTGCTGGTCACAAAAATTCAATTTCTAGCAGTAAACTATATAACCTACAGAGCCTACTCAAAGCATTTTTAAGAATCTCGCTAGCACAGTATAGTGCTCAGACACAAACCCTACTGTAGACTAAATGACTAAAGACAAACGCACCAGGGCAGGGAAGGCTGCCAGGAAAACAGGCAATCTGGCTGGGACAGTCCTCATTTGCCCTGAAAAACAGCAGCATCTTCAGCTACAGAGCATTTGCAGCCACAGTATATTCGCTTCTCCTTTTAAATCATACGACCTTTTATTTTATGAAGTGAACTCATGCCTGTGCCATCCTATTTCACGAGATGCAAGTCTGGCACTGATTTCAGTAAAGGTAATAAATCCACCTTTCTTCAGAGAGCATTTTTGAACAAATAAAGACAGGCTGTTTCTGCTGGATGAGGACTTATGCCCTAAAACACTGCATAAACATGTTCTCTCAACTGACCGTTTAGCAGCAGGAGTCTTAATACAAGAAAGAATCTTATTGCAAATGCTTTGATTGCTGCAGGTCTACTCTTCATTTTTATATAAAAATAAAAGTTAACGTGTAGTTCTTCCATACAGTAGAAGCTAATTGCTTGGAAGAAATCCTCCAGTTAGCTCACTTTAATAATTTACTTCAGAGAAAGATTTGACTCCTCTCAGGAACACAGTAATTCTACAGCAAAGGTAGCAGTGGAGCTGCCTGGTCTGTGTCAGGTGCTGTGCTGAGAGCAACAGAAACAAGCTGTGTTCACAGAGGCACTACGGGAGGTAACAAGCTCTGATTTACCAACAAAAAATCAGGGTAGGGTCTCAGGATTCAGAGAACATTACGTGTGCATACGCACACACCTCATATATCTTGGTTTTGGTCAACTGAATTTAATCTAAGTTTACACTCTTCGAGGTACCTAGGTAAAATTAAATGGAAAACAAGTTGCTGTGTAAAATAAAAAGATTACAAGCAGCAACCCAAAACCTACTCTATCTTGAAACACCACAATCTTATGCATAAATACATTTTTCAACAGGGAAAATGGAGTAAATAATACCAACACGCAGCCCCATGCACGCTGACACATATATTCTAACACTGAGGTCTATATATCATTTCTTATTACTTCAATTCATTCCATTTAAGGGAACCCAACAGAAACAGGGGACGTTACAAAGTACAAAGGAACGTTACGAAATCCCTTATCAGCTAGCAAGAAAAGGCAGGAGAAACATGCTAAAACATCTAAAACATCTAAACACTCCTCAGCAGCAACAATAACCACTCCAAGCCTCTTAGGTTGCCTCGGCCTTGAGCAGAAGGAAGAGCTTTGCCCAGGCTGTGAAAGAGTTTGCATGTTTCTGTCTGCTAAATGAACCAACAGTTCCTGCAGACAATTCTCAGCAGAAAGGCAGCTGTTAATCTTGAATTAGTTTGAAGTCAGGCTCATTAAACTCAGATATGAGCTACAAAGATGTTTGCAGGAAGGAGGAGTGAGGGAGAAAGTTAATCAATTTTTAATTACTCATCAAGGAAGGGTTATCAGGGGAGGTCTTTTTCGCAGCTATGTAAAGCAAAAATATAAAGCATTTATAGCTGGTTTTATTTATAGCAATAAGATCTAGCATTTGAAGGGAGTGCAGAGATCAAAAAAGGCTTGCTTCAACCAATTTTTATGTAATTTACTGTCTAGCAGCACAGAGATGGAAAAAATAAAACCAACAACATTCTGTCCTTCTTAAAGGCAATAATCCGTGTACTTACATTCAAGTAAAAATAATGAAACCTTCTGTTCAAATCTTCTTAAAACTTCCTCACACTCCAACTACATAAAGATACTCTTTGATCAAAATCTGGCATTTGTAGAGCAAGTTCAGCTGTTCTAACTACACATTATTGCTTGTAGTGGCAAGGCTTCTCAGTGTATGTTCTGACCTTAAATTTGGCTGTGCTGGTTCAGTGAAATAAACCCAATTTTATTACCACAGGTACAAAATGATTTCCTGCAACGCTCGCTCACGGCGCTGTTGTTTGTGGCGCTCGGCGCGCGGTGTCGTGGCGTGCTCGGGATCTGGACGCTACCTCGGGGCAGCTGCTCCAAACCTGCCACGCTTCCCAGGCACAGTGCACGGCCTGCCGGGGCACGACGAGGAGCAACAACAGATGGAGCAGAAGCCCACGCCGCTCGCAGCGCTTCTCAGGAGATCATTGCTTCCCGCACGAGCCTTCATCCATTCCCTTCCCCAGCTTCACATCCTGCGGGTAATCCAGAAATTCCTCTTACCCAACTTTAACACTTGCAACGTGATTTTATTTTTAAACAAATGCACATCACAACGTGGTTTTTGTCACGAGCAAAGTATAGCTTTATGCCAGATTTTGTAACGGGGTGTCTTCCCTCTCCCTTACCGATTGCTGTGATCAGGACCCCTTGTATAATTGACCCTGAAATGTATATACAGCATATGACACAGATATTTTCTCTCCAAAACACGGGTTGGGCTTTACCAAGGGCTCCTCCTACACTGCAAATGTATTTTAATCTGATCAAGGGACTTCCTTGCATTAACTAAACCCTTAATACAGCCATAATCATAGCATTAGTGGGCTCTTGAGCCCCTCTGCAGCAATACTATCAAATCTGTAATACCATGGCCCATTAGCACTAGGCTGGTCTATGTAAGACAGCAGCATAAATTATACCCATCATCAAGCAAAAGTGGGTTGTTGTTTTCAGCAGATGACAGGAAGATGCCATTTCCTCTGGCTCCAGCTCTTGCAATTAACCCAGAAGCCACTTTACAAGAAAAAAAAAAGCTACCTCCTCACCTTTGCTGTGAGCATTGATCCCAGAAGGGATGAGATTGGACTGCAGAAGGGGTTTGGAAGCAGCAGCTCCTGCAATGGATAGAGGCAGCTCCTGCAGGAGCTGTGGGGAAAGGGAGAGAGAAATGATGAGGACAAATATGCTCAGCTGCTCAACAGATGCTCCTGTTTCTGGAAGCGAAAGATACACCCAGCAGGACAGTGAAAAAAACTGGCCAGATATGACCCAGTACTGGCTACATAGTACTGGCTCTCCTTGTTAATGCAGGAGAAAAGCTTATTTTCTCTTCTTCCCCAAAGCATCCTTACCATTCACTTCCAGGGAAGGAATCCACCACCTGATACTCCTAAGTTATGCCTGCCACACATGAGACTATGCAGGAGGTAGTTGGAAAAGACAGGAAATGAACCTAAAACTTTAAAAAAATAGTTGTCTTTTACAACTGAGCTAACATTAAGAAATGCTGAGTTGCAAAATATTTTTTCTGCACTTTACAAAAGGCTTGTTTTAGGCTTCAGGAAGGATAATATGACAATGAGAAATTAAAGGTCTGTAATTCAGCAACAGAAGCTCCACCATTCACATTGTATTAAATTCTTTGAAGAGTACACATCCTCAGATATTGCACAAATTGTATTAAAGAGCTGCATCCATATAAATTATCTGCCTGATGGCAATCTGAGGAAAACCACAGATACTTAGCTAGATATTGCAAGAGCAATCCCATATATAATCCCCTGTTTGAAAGATGCAGCCTCGTGCCTTGTGCCTTTAGGCTCACTGCAACAAACAACAGCTGGAAATTCATTAGACTCATTTTAAAAGAACCAAATTTTGGTTTCTGAAAGCCCTTGCAGAAAATGGAGTTTTTGAGCCTCAGAGAAAGCATGTTAAAATGAGAACCTTTTTCTTGTGAATAATTATTTTGTCTAAGTTAGATTAGTTTCAGAAGAAAAGTCGTCTTGTAAACCTACAAAAGGCCGGCCTGACCCTCTGGCACAGAGCATGAAGCACCTGCGGGACAGCGGGGAAGATCTCCTGCCCTTTCTCCCTCCACAACCAGCCTTGTTGGCGACACTATATCTGCAGCTGAACCCTCTCACCTAACAAACTTTGTCCTTCCTTCACTTTCTCACTTTAAAAAACCCAAATTGTTAGTATTCTTCTTCCAGAGCAGGACAGCAGGATATGCATGCCAACTCAACAGAAGGATTTCAGAACCTATCAGTACCTACAATGTTGCATGCCACATTTGCAAAACATCCCTAGATATTTTGAAATGCATTTCGAAGACAGGTGGGCCTAGCAGGGCAAAAACAGGTTAGCTGATCACTTTCAGTACATACTCTCTGAGATGTCAAACTCTGCCAACCTATTACTGGAAAATAGATCTTCTCCATAAGATCTAAGATTTTAAACTTGGAATATTTTCTATATTACTAAAAGTACTGAGAATTAAATGTTCTGATTAGTTCAATCCCTGTTTTAAGGCTTCATATTTATCATCTTTCTTTATAATCCGAAACAGAATGAGAAAATGAGTGAGAAAATGAGTTTAAAGAAAATAAGAAACACTTAAGCAGAACTTCAGCATTAGGAAAAGAATCTGCAACTCCCCATGTAGCTTTTTAAATGCAATCCCTTAATAAATTTCTCTTCTATGAAGTTCCCGGTGAGAAAAAAAAATAAGGTCTCTAATAAAATGACTCATTAAAAAAAATCAGTAAGAAATTTAAAAGAGATTCTAGTGTAGATATTAATTACTGACAATATCACCTCTTTCTACTAGAATTTCTGAAGAGGCTACCAGAAATCAAATACTCTTTAAGGGATAGGATCAGCTCTGCTACAAAAATTAGTCATTACAAGTGATAACTTTAATTTTACTTCGGACAAAGATCAACACAGCATTTTTATTGTAATGCCTCAAACTCAGAGGGCTTATCATTTCATTCTAAAAGCTTATTAGCACCAAATTTGGGTAGGTAATAGCGATTTTTTTTTTCATTTTTACTTACAACAGAATTTTAAAAGATGAACTTGTCTGGGGATTTTTAGATTCAGAGCCAAAGATTAACATAGGTTTTTTTAAAAAATGTGAAGTGCAATTCACCTGGAAATGCAGGAATTCTCCTCGCCTAAAGGATGCTGTAGGCAATACACTACAAGGCATATTTTTTCTCTTGCTCTCTTTTAACTTTGTCTTGCCGTAGGCATTCCCACACCTCTCTTTTCAGGAATATGATTTCAGCACCATTCTATGGTAATAGGGTCAAATGTCCAAGTCCTAAATCTGGGCTCCGGATTCCCTGCTTGTTCAAGAAAAGGTGTCAAGGTTAAGTGCCATAACACTTAACTTCAAGGTACTCTGGATTTTTATTTTATCTGATTTTGCAGTTAGTTATGAATCCATGAAATTACTTACATTTTAATAGAAATGTGCTTACCTGAAGTACAGAAAAGGTAGTATTACAGCTAACAAGAACACAGCTTACTTAGACTTAAGATATAAGTATTTTAAAGCTTTTCCCAGATTGCAGAAAGTCTGCTTCCCATTCCAACAAGATATTTGGTCGTCAACTGCTCCAGCATCCCACTCAAGTCAAAGTCAATGGCACTCAATGCCATGAGCTGCCCTCGCCAGCATCGTGTCTTTTTGCTTCATGTGAACATGGAGCAGATCACATGCAGGGGTAGCTACACGGCCTGCTAGAGCAGATAGTTCTGAGTAGAAAGTCTCACTAGAGAGAAAAGCCAAGCCATGCCAGGGTGTGGTGGGCTTGGTAAGTAAGGGGAAAAGCCCTATTGCCCCCTCAGCAGCAAATGCCCAGGAGTCAAGCGAGGAGAAAAGCACTGTAAACGTCTCCAGATGTGCCCATCTGACCAGTGGGTCCTGCCCTCGAGGGGAGAGGGACTAGGGTTTGCACAAAATGAGGCAGAACTAACAGCTATCAGCAACTCAAGGCGTAGCAGTCGGTGGGGAACCCGGAGCCTCAGTGCTGCGTATCCCTCGCGCACTCCTCACTTGCCAGAAAGGTGGGCGCAACAAACAGCAAGGGGGCTACTAAATCCTACTTTTTCAGTCTATACTTTGCTTCCTTAAACCCCAGGTTGATCAGCTTTATATTCTGCCAGTTACAGCACACATATCTCTCCAAAGGCACACTGTTATTAGCGTCGCTCCTGACAGGGACGTAGTTCTGTGCACAATTCAGTGTTATCTGAGTATCTCTTTTGTCATCTGTCATCTCAATTTTTATACCACTTTCCAGACCATTCAAATGAATTAAGGTTCATGAGCAAATAATTTATTTCACTGTAATTTCCTTTGCTGGCAAAAGCAGAAACAAAAGCTCAAACTCTTGACATTGAAAAGCGAAGCATTAAAAAAGACAAGTAGTTAGTCAAAAGGCAATTTTTCTGCTGAAAACTAATTGAGCGTCTACAACACGTGACACTTGTTTTGTGACGGAACTCATGCAAACATTGGGATGAGAATCCCTTTGCACTGGGATGCAACACAGAGATGAGAATCATCCCACTTGTTTCCCAAACAGCTAGCCATGGCACTCACTGCACAGCAGGCACTTCACAACAGTTTCTCTTGGATATCACAACAACCTGCAATGTTGTGGTGGTTTGTGGCCTTCTTACGCAGACAACTAAGCCCTCCATTTCATTTAACTCACAAACCCTGCTTAAACAGCCACACGTGTGGGTGCCTGATTCCATCTGAGATAGATCTTTGAGTGCTTTCTTGAAATCAAGAGCTATGAGCTATTATTGTATGACCAAAGCATAGAGGCCTGTTGAAACTGTGCCTCCTCCAAGCTGGAGCAGCCATCACTTCCTTTAGATAACACAATCAACATCCATGGGAAACAAAAGTGGCACATCAGGGTTTACAGCATACAAACAAGTGCAGCCTCAGGGGCAAATGAGCACTTTAGGCAGAGCTCACAGTACCCATGGTGTCAAGATGGAGAACAGCAGTAGAAATTACTCCAAAATGTAATTTCATTTCAGCATTGCTCATTACATGCCTGAAGAAAATCACATTTCATTGTGAGTTATTAGCTTTGCAATAGAGTTACTGAATACAGTTGACAGATTTAATCTCAGTATGTAAAGAGATGTTAACTTCACTTACAAACCAGATATTTTATATATTACAAATTAGATATTTTATGGTTCAGTTTTAAGGTTTTCCCCATCACCAAAGACAAATGAAGTCCTTGAACTGTTACTGCTCTTACAAAATGCTCCAGAAGAACCTAGTAACAAATAAAAGGACGCAGAGGATTAAACTCACGGGAAACGATGTGCTACAGTTTGAAACACAAGAGCTGCCACCTCCGGCCATCACTGAGCTGTCGTCACCACAGCTGTCACTGTCCCTGTGCTCCCCAGTGGCACTAGGCAAGCGGAAGCAGCAGCAGCGAACGTGGCAATGGGGCAAAGGAGAGAGGCCAGGCGAGTCGAGGCGAGTCGAGGCACAGCCGGGGCTGCCAGGAGCCGAGCGGGCAGCTCGGTGAGCGAGAAGGCCAGGGCGCGTCGGAAGGGCCTCCCTGCCTTCCCGCGGCAGCCAAAGCCGGGGAGCTAAGGGCCGGGCTGCCTTTGGGCTGGCACGAGGCCTGCTTAACACCTCGCGTTTCTTCCAGCACCGCTATAATGCGTAAACAGGTGCCAAGCCTTACAGTAATGATGGTTTTCCTAGTTCCTTGGCCAAAGACAAAACGGTGGGAAAACGTCAACTCAGCACAGAAACCACTTTTACATTTTGTTACAATTTGTTAAAAACTCTTCCCCTTGCTATGAAGAAATTCAGCAGTTAAGGAACAAAGAACAGCTCCTAAATGAACAATTTTGCACATATGCCCTACATTTGTCGATTGAGTAGGTTTGATAAAAATGACCTTTACATAATGACCTAAATACCTTTGCATTAATGAACTATTTGCCCAAAATAACCCCCTGAGATATTCTGAGATATGAGATGTTCCATACTATTAAATGCTCTGCTACTATTACTTTTAAGTCCCTCTACCATCCCGCTTAAAAAACATAAAACTTTGTATGACATTTTCGGAAATTTCTGGAAGGCAATACGTTTTTAACTATTACTATATGATGACATGAAGTATGTGTTGCATTAGTCATAACAGAGCTTAGACATTTGCAGCAGATCAAATGTTACTAATCTAGTCTGACATCAGAGAACTGAGGTCTAAAATGTTTTCTCAGAGGAAAAAATGTCTGTAATAAACTGTATTATGTTAAAAGGTCTGAGAGTAGCTGTTTTATCTTTATGACTATTCCAGCAGCCGCCCTCAAAGTGCTTCTCTGCAAAGGGACTTCATCAGCATTTTCTTCATTCGGCAGTTATTATGGAAAGAGGTTTTATCCCACAGTAACTAGCACCTAGAGATATTTGCTCGGAATATATTTAATTTAAAAAAAAAGAAAAAAAAAACACCCCACCACACGGTATCTCTAAAAATAATTAATTCAAGTATAATTCAACTGATACATTAGGGAAATTCTCTATCATCCTTTGCTTAAAAATAGGACCATTGCTGCATTTAGGAGGCCAGTCATACTGAGCAAGGACAGTTACAGCATTGTCAGCATCTACCTGGCCATGCTCCATAGTCTCCATTGGTACAACTGAAGTAAGAACTAAGATGAAAGATGGTAAAATATAAGTGTAACAGCTACAAATTCTCCTATTCCAGCTGCTTCTTCCTCACTTTATAGTCTAATCCTCAGTATATCCACGATATCATATATGATTTCATTGGAACTGATGAAGATGTTACACAAAAATGAAGGATTCCCAGTGCTGAGAGAATCCTGGCTCGTGTACAGAGAGAACAGATGAGTTAATCTGATCCTGTATGTAAAATGAAGAAGCAGACTGCATGTTTGACAAAATAAATTACCAACCAGAACACAAATTATTCCTCTTCCGGCTTCCCTTGAGCTATGCTGACTTACACCAGTGAGGATCTGCACCACAATTTAGTCCTGCCTACAGATGATCAAAATTTTCATTACAGATTATTAATTGTGTGTAGGCATTCTGTTCTATAAAGGTCCGTACAATAAGCTCTTCTTCACAGCATCCATGTTTTTAAACATATATATGACCTCTCTGCTCAATTCCTCCAATGTCGGCCTTACATCATAGTGACTCTCATACAATAAAACCCTATTTGAAAAGTGAAGTATTTCTAAAACAAAAGTTATTTAGACCTCTCCAGCCATATTTGCTTTAAATATTTCTTCCCTGTTTCCTCTTCTAAATAGTTTTATCATTTACCATATTTATCATGCAATGTATTTTCCATATTCTTAAACTCCAGCTGCAGCTTTTTCACCTTTCTGTATCTATGGTTTCTACATACTGAAGTAAACGGCACCGTTTTTTGTGAGCAATGCTCTGAAAAGCAAACAAGAGGTTTTCAGCTCTTTCATATCACTGGTTTTCTTCAGCTTGCTGGCAAATGGCTGTACATCTCATTTTACCATAAATGTCGCACCTATCTCCTTGTATTTTTCTCTCCAGACATATCAGAGAAGCTACAAATCAAGCAAGGACAAAGGACACAAGCAACTGCTGATACACTCTCTAGTGCAATATCAACCATACAGCGAACTAGCATGATTCAAGCTTATGAAATCAATTCTTCAAGGAAATAGCAAACTTGGAAGCCATCGTTGTAAAGATTTAGTCAACATTTCAATAGCAAAGTCCATTCTACGCCAATATTAAAACAATACTCTCTGGGAAAAAGCTATTCTTTCCTTTAAAAAAAGGATATTCAAACAGTGTAAATCCTGAAACTGAAAGCTGCTAAGCTGCTAGGCAGAAGCAAATGACTGATGCTGAAATCTGGAGCAGTTCATGTGCTCTTCTTGTCAACAGCAATTGAGGGTAGTCTGGTGCTCTCTCATCTACTTACAGCTTCTTGACTAACATCATTACGTGAACAGAAACATCAGCTGGGTCATCAAGACTAATTCTCTGCTATCACAGGCAAACATATTATACAAACCAGTTAATACAACTTCCTTGTAGGCTCCCTCACCCCTATCAGTACCTACAAGCATTTTTTTTGCTTTTTTTAATGCTCAAGGCTGATGAGAAAGTATCAAAGCATGACAGTTGGTGCTTTAATAAAGTTGTCTGTTGATTTGTGATGATCTGTAAGCTAATGCTGCCATACCTGTGTCCCACTGCAGCATGCATTACTTTGCACACAGCAAAGTAATAGCACAAAATGATTTAATTAAATCTTTGGGAAATCAGTGTCACCGTGTTTAATTTGTACTGGTCAATAAAAAATAATTCGCTAAATAGTTGCTTGCGTACATGGCCATCTCAGGAGACCACATTACTAAAAGTTAACTCAATTGCACATGCTAATGATACCCAAGGCTAACTTGCCAGCTGTATGCATAATTGCTGTGAATGACATGAAGCAAAATTTTGCTCACCTACCAGCTACAAAAATTGCATGTGCATTTTTAAAATTGTGCTCCCCTCATCTTAGCCCACGTTGCTGCCAGGATTGTACCAGTAACTGCATCTGCCCTCTTGCCCCCTTACAAATCTCTCGCATAAAAGATGTGTAACTGGATGAGGAGGAATACAGATGAGTGTCAGTATATTTATAGTGGACCTAATTACAATAAATTCAATGAAGAACATATGAGGGAGTGCTTGAAATGTTTTCCTCCTGCTTTAGAATATGCTGCCATTTGCTAAGTTTTATTGCTTCTGAAAGCATCCTTAACAGCAATTCAGTGAGATATAAAAACCTTTCAGTGACGCAAGCCTTATTGCGCATAAGAGGTTATTGCAGTCTCTCATGCATACTTGGGCCTAGCTTGAGCAATGTTAAATGTTTTGCAGGAAAAAAAAATGCTGTTAGCAATACAATTCACAACAGTACCAAGAGATCTGCCCTGAGGCAGAGGCCACACTGAGCTAGAAACGACATGTTTATAGTCAGAATCTGTGCCCCAAGAGCATACCATTTTAATTAATCATACAGAAGAAGCAGAAGAGGAAAAAAGAAAGTTACAAAGGCTTGCCCAAGGTTCATGGTCAAGTCGGGAGTAGAAATCACATCTTCTGAATCCCGGATCCGTACACCTGATCAAACCTAATCCTAAGGCATGTACACCAATGGGTTTCTCTGCTGATTCACTGGCTTACACCTCTGGAGCCACTTAAAAAACATGTGTACTCCCTACCAATATAATGAGCTTATTCAAAGGTGCATGCATATGCCCACAAACCTGCAAGAGTCTGGAAATTAATTGCTGATATACACACAGCTGAGCAAAGCTGCAGGATTACAGGAGGCGCTCCTACGAAACAGGACACTCACCTGGCGTTTCTGTCGCTTCCACGGGCTGACAATTTTCTTCCAGCTTCTGCTGCTGGTCTCCATGGCACCCACACATGACGCAGTGGCCTGCAGAGATCTCCCTCCCTGGGCAGGCACAGAGCCAGGAGGTGCAGCAGGTAGACAGGAAATGTGGCTAGGAAGGCAAGAGGGTTGTGATTCTGCATTCAGTTAGAAAATGCCAATTAATTAGAGATGACAAACTGAAATAGATCAGAAGACAGACCTAACTAGTATTTCTTCTGCAAAGGAAGAAAAATGTTTAAAATCCAGTGTCTCAGCTAGCAGTGATGCGGGGCTCCACGGTGGCTGGTAGCACAGGAATGAAATGCAGTCTGCCACCACAGAAAAGCACCCAACGTTGAGCCTCAAAAGTTTGAGGAGTTGTTTAGGATCACGTGTACAGCCAGAAAATGCATAGCTCCTCCTGCATGAGCAGGGCACGCAGCATTCTCACCAGGTAAACCAGAGCCACGTGCTCCATCTCTTAACCCAACTCTGAACACTCACACAGTTTACCTTTACAAATAGCCCTTCCCTAAGGTTTGGTCACTGAACTCAAAAGCTGTTCTCCTAAGAAATTCAAGTGGAAAATAAATGTGTCACACAAAACAGAAAATAAGAAGTTAAATAATTAAGCCTGGCCTAAGTTTAAAGCAATTTTTAAAATATTTCCCACAGATTTGAAAGCACAAGCTAAAAGCATGGTTTTCCATGAGCTTTTCTAGCATTGAAGTACTCAGTCAACCCGGAACTAAAATATGAATATGATTAAAATCAGCTTATTTAAAATTTCAAACAAATTGAAATTGTTTGAAGAAAGCACAGTGGGTTATAGCTGCTCCTCTTTTCTACTTGCAACTACATCATAAAATTTAAAGCCTGACAGGCAGCCTTTATATTATATATTAAGTTTGTATAAAGCCGAGGCTTGCACTCAAATCTGAAATGGAAGGAAGATTAAGATCATCTAAGAGCAGGGACACTTGTCTCAAAATCTTACCAGGAGGTAAAATAACTTCAAATTAAGAGAGCGTCCAGGAAGCTGCTTCTCCTCCTTTTGCTCCTTTTGTCATCTAAGTGCCCTTTAACTATTTCAGCTAACATAATAAAAAGCATCCTTTTCTCATGACTACAGCAAACCATGAAATCCTTGTGACAGTCTCAATATTTTTCCTACGTACTCAGGAAAAAATTTGAAACTCTGTGATCCAATGGCTGTAACCTAAACTGAATCAGAGCTGCTGCAGCTTAGTTTCAAGATCCTTCCCCCTCATTTCCTAAACTTGGGCATCAATGTCTGCTTTTCCATACTTGCAGAAAAGGCATGGTACTGCTTGTAGATGTGATGAGGCTTGATTAATTCATGTTTTTTATGGTGCTTTGAGATTAGTATACAACAAGTAATATAAAGCTACAATAGTAACTTATTTGAATTTAATTTACCTGAAATTATCTAAAAGGAGATCAAAAATTTGAATAGCAAATATGTGCAAGTATTAAACAAACATGCCTGTAATTAAATACTTAAAAAGACATAATGTTAAAAGTTATTACAGCCTAAGGTAACTGATAAACAATGTATATTTCTTCTGAACATATTTTCTGTGGTATAATTACTATAATTACAATACCCAACATTACTCATTAGAGAAAATTTAAACACTATAGAAAGCTCTGTTTTACATAAACACTTTTTTTTGCCTATAAATTAGTGCAAACAATTTGTCCAAATATGTAACCAATTATTTTAGCCAGACAAACCTTATTCAAATATAGCCAAAGTCACACACGTTGTGTCCAGCACCAGTGCTGATAAGTGGTCATCACAAAACATGAATTGAATTTTATTAAAAACATTCAAAAAGCCTATATGATTTCGAAGATTGGGTGTGCTATTTCTCTCTAATTGGTCCACAGAAATATTTTCCTTTCCTTTAATTTTGACCTACAAATAGAAATGGAAGGTATTCTGGAACGTGATGAAGACAAACACTTTGATGTTTCTCCTTTCCATTAAGAAAATCTTTACCCAATAAATTACAATTATGTAAATATTAGCCCCCCAGGGTATAAGTGTCTCTTTGAGACATAAGATGATTAGAGCAAAAAATTATTAGATTTGTCCATGACCATGCTATGCTTTCCTTCCTCAGGAAATTCTCTTATCAAAGAGTTTAATCCTATTCCCACTGAAGCAAGTAAATTTGGACACTGTCTCAAATGGAAAGAGAATTAATTTCATCCATTCAAGCTGCATCCTAAACGCCCACGTAATAGTAATGTCCCAGGTATGAAGATTTAATTAAATTTTTAAACACTGCCTTTCCATAATTAGCAATGCTTTTATTCTCCCCATTCCCTTTGCGCTCCCATGAAAGCTCCAGCTTCTGTGAACAACTGCAGAATGTCACTAACCCAGATAAACAGCTGGCCTGTGAGCATGTATGCCCATAATCATGCACTGGGGACAGCAGTAGCAGGGATGCACACAGCTACATCGCTCTTGACATTAATGCCTGGTGGATGAGGGCTTGATCTGATGACTTGCAACCTGATTACAGTACTCGTGCAAGATAGGCGGCTGCAGCTGTGTAAGAAGAGGAACGCATCATCCACACTAGACTCTCTCCTTTATACCGTTAGGGAAGGCATACGTGACTCTGCTCTAGTCATGCTTATGAGGTGATGTTCCCGGATCCTCCAGGTGCCATCCGTAAGAGTATGTGCTCTTCGCACTGCCAGTGAGGCTGGTTTTGCAAAGGCAGCAGTTCTTTAAGGAGTTTGGTACTGTTGCAAGTTCTAGGGAAGTGAGCCCGCCCTGCCTTCACAAGACTGCCCACTTCCCTATCTTACTGCTTGAGAGAGAACCCAAATTTTCCACTCCTGTTTCTGCCACAGCAGCACAGTTTGTGCAGCGTGGCTGTTTCTCCTGTTAACTCGCTTGACCTGAGTCAGTCACACATCTCTGTAACCTATGGATAATCATGGACCTCAGCTGAGTCTCCTTGGTGCAAAGGTTGATAAGCCCTATGGGCACAGTTTCTTAGCATAGAAGGCATTCAGAATTACTTGCTTTAAACAAGAAAAGGCAAGACAGATGATCCAATGATATATATAATACAGATGTATTTCATATATATATGTACAGATAGATAAGGATGAAGAATAACCAGAGTAATACTTGTCCCATGCATCCAGCCAGTACTAATGCCTTTAGCACAGAGGTGACCCAAGACATTGGGCTCCAGTCAATGATGGAGAATTCAGAAAGGGCTGTTGTGATCTCACATCCTCAAGCTCTTGTGACACGTGGCTTAGATGCCTAAATTGTGGAAGAGGCATTTTCTATAGAGACACAACATTCTCCTCTCACCTCATTAAGAATTCCTCCTTCCTTTAGTAAGAGTATGTCCAGTGCCAAACTTTCCTGTAACATCAGCTTTGTAGTTTTTGCAGTTGTTGATCTGATGTTTCAAATGCATGTGCACTCCCATTGGCCTTAGCAGAGATCTGATCCATTAATGCCTCAATGTGGACGGTGTGCAAGACCACTAATTTAGGGCAGGCAAGATAAGCTTCCACATACACTCGAAGTCTAGAAGTGAGCCCAAAACTAGGTTAATTAGGTTAGTTGGAGGACTGCTAATATTTATGAAAGTGTACATGAGAAGGGGGCTAAAGACAAGTACTCATTATAGACAAACATGTCCCAAAGGAATTATCTAAATGCAGCAGTATTGAAACAGTGCAGAAGAGAGCTACTAAGAGCATGCCAGTAAGGTAAAGTGTTATGCCAGCACAGTCCATTGTTTGTGAACTACAGTTTGTGCTTACACACCATGATTCCTATGAGAAATACAAGCACAATAATAATGAGAAGAATGGCCAGCATACGTTCAAAACCTACATAACCTTCCCAAAATCCCCACACAGGAGTTGCCCATATTCAATGAACACATGCTAAAGAGACCTCAGTCCATCAGCACAAACACTTTTATCGTCATCTTGAGGATCAAAGTAAAAGATGACAAAACTTGTTTCAGGGGTAAGAGCAGGTGAGGGCAAACAGGTTGCCCCATTTGGAAAGGAGGAGAAAAAAAGAAAAAAACACCACACACAAACCCATCATGCACTAATTGGGCACTAGTGTTATCAGTAGCTTCCCAGGTACATATGCAAGATTCATAAACCTAGCAGAATCAAACTTAACTTTCTCATTCAAGGGATGCTCAAGAAAGACAGGTAACTTCAGCTATTTTTTAAAAGTCAGGGATTATCAGGATTAATTTGATATGCCAGTGGCCGCCCAGGGATATGTACCTCTAGGTTTGGACAATATTTTGGAAGTTCCACAATTGCAGGTTGTCCTGGCTTTCCCCAAATGGGATTAACTGGGGAAGCTCTATTTTCTTGATGATCTTCCTCTTTTTGCTTGGGAAACTGAGCTGCCCACATTGCAAGTCCTGCAATTCCTTCTTTGGTTGCAGGCATTCTAAGGTGGGTCTTCTCCCCAGTCTGGGGGAGCAGATGGCTGATGACTTATGACTCCTTGTTTTGTTTCCTCGACTATCAGTCTCCTGATCTGCATTGCCATAAGGGGATGTTTTGTTCAGGAGAAAATGGATTCTGGTTTACCCTGTAACTCCTGAATTTTCTTCCTTTCTACTTCTAGTTCTTGTTTCTTCCATTCACACTCCTGTATTTTCTCATCTAACTCCTTGGGTTTTTTTTTTCTCCCATCTAACTGCCCCTTAATCCTCACGCGCTCTCCTTATGCCTGTTGCCCTGCCATAGACAGGCTCCCAGAACAGCACACATTTCTCCTTTTCCCTTGCCACCATTTAATTTACTCCCATTCCTTCTATTCTACAGTCAGAGAATTTATCACTCCAGTTGGCCTGTGCCCAGTGAGTGCTTTGACTGGAGTGCTCGTGTCCATGTCTTACTAGTTTGAGTGAAGATGTTTTAGGTGTGTTTTGCAGTCAAACTGTCAACCCCACACACCCCTGGAGTCTTTAACTGCTGGGATAGAAAGCAGGTACCCATCTCAGATGACCAGTATCTAGATGAATGGATGAAGTGCCAGGGACTATGTCTGCTCATTTTAAAAGAAACTGCTGGTCACCTAAACGTAGAGCTTACCAGTCAAAGTATAAGTTAATTTTTTGCTGAAAGTTAGAAATTTTCACCCAGAAAGCCCTTGAAGTAGAGGCAGGTTCTTAAACTCCTAAGTGCTCTTGAGGAATAAAAGTCCTGACGAGAAATCGAGGAATCCAGATACTCCCCCTGCTACCCATGAATGTCAGCTCTGGCACCGTCCCCAGCCTGCGAGCCAACTGAAGTAGTTATTGTAACAAATCCAGCTACTCGAGTACAGAGGACAATAAATCATCTTTCTGGTCCACTGAATGTGGTTCCGAGACACTCTCTTGTCATCATCCTAGACAAAGGACACAAAATTTTGTCAATCATTTTTGCTTCATTTTACCCTACTAGACAAGTCGCAAAATACTCTTCCATTTGTTTAGAATAGTGAATGCTTAAGGTTGGAAAGGACCTCTAGAGGTCATCTAATCCAACCCCCCAGGGTCCCCAAGAGCACGTGGCACGGGACTGCGCCCAAGCCGGTTTTGAA